CAGGGTACGTTAGGAGAACGCACACTAAGAAGGGATTTTTCGAAATTCCTCCCCACGGGGGAGAGGGACAGGATTAAGGTTCAACACTTCCATCAACAATGGAAGTGTTAAGTAACAATGGAAGTGCTAAGTAACAATGGACGTGTTAAGTAACAATAAAAGTTTTAAGTAACAATGGAAGTGTCAACAATGGAAATGTTACGTAACAATGGAAGTGTCAACAATGGAAATGTTACGTAACAATGGAAGTGTCAACAATGGAAATGTTACGTAACAATGGAATTGTTAAGAGAAAGCGACGTGCGATACGCAGGTGCAGTTTTTTTCTTTTTGCGGGAAATCGAACATATTTTTAGATTGATCTAAAAATTCTCTAAGGGGACCCAATTCTTGCGTTCTGTGAAAACGGGTAAGGTTTACTGTAACGTAATAATCTTTATCTTAGTTATCGTTACTTTTGCCCGAGCAAAGCCGGGCCCACCTGCTAGTTACTATATATTTTCCACGAAAGACAGAGTAGAGAAAATCACTGAAAACTGATAGTGGGTTGCAAATACATGCATGTCCAATGCATTGGCCAAGTGCATCACATAAATAAAAAACAGTTACTCTAAAAAATACTTCAGAGAGAGAATGAAAGAAAAATCACAGAAAGGAAATGAAAACAATCCGGATCTAATTTGCAAAGTGAATATTAAATTTTATAGTTTAATTAAGAAGGAATATTAATAACAAATTTTCCACCTTCTTGTTTAAGTCAAATACTTAATTATAGAATGGATAGCGATTTATCCTGACGGTAAGCAGTACTGGCATGACAACTGCGCACTTAGGATGATCCTACTAGCAGTATAATAATATTCCATGAGCTCTTCCTGCTGGTAGGATTGACATTAGGAAGAGAAAATGAACGTTTTTAATCAATTATATTATATTATATAGGCTATATATATAATATAATATAACCATTTATTCTCTATAGCTGAATTTGGCGAACTCTATTTTTCCCCTATGAGCATCATTATAAATAGTTATAATAACTGGTCCCAGTATGAAAGAATAAAGTTTTGTTGTGTACAGTATTTCCCTTGCTCGAATCTTGAACTTTAAGATGAGATAAAGTTCATCCTGCTGATATGCTTCATTACAATAAAAGCAATTAAAATCATCCTACAGGCGGATGATCTACCTTATCAATAGGATGCTGTCCATTCTACCCTTAATGAGAATACTTCGTGTTTACTGTACATCTAGATACAAACAGCATATAATTTCACTTAAATATAAAAAACAAACTTATTCGAGATAGGAACGCTACCCCCTCTATTTCCCCCCCCCTTCAGTCTTAAACTTCCAAAATGTACTAGCATCTGAATAAATGTTTTATTTTCTACATTTGAATTTAGTTCAATATCTTATATTTTTAATTCAGTTCGATTTTGTTTATATTCGAGTTTGCTTCGATTCCTGTAGTCGATAAGAAGTGATTTCGAATAAAAATTCCGCAACGACTTTCTTAACTTTCCCGGTAAAACTTAAAACTGCATATGGCGCCATCTTTTATGATAATTTACTGAAAAAGTTTTTATATTTTTAATTATTATTAATACATTAACATCCATACATGCTGAAATCACCACAGAATTTTTTTTTTTTTNGTTTATATTTGGATATTTGGCTTTCAGATATTTATTTTTGATGTTTTTTGATGTTTATAATAATACTTGTATAATTTTGTTTTGATTTATGTATATGTTAATTTTCTCTGTAATAATGGATGGATTATGATATTTTTTTGTAATGTACATGTAACGAATTATTGTATACCCCGCATCATGGGCTCTGCCTAGTATGTCTAAATAAATACTGTAAATAAATAAATAAATTATGCATTATTTCTAAATGACGACTAAAAATAACTTTTCAATTTTAAGAATCAAATAACTTTTTAACTTTAAATTTGCCTCTTAACTAATAATAAACATTGTCTTATCATTATCTTACTTGTCATTATCACTCCTTTTTCATCACAGCAGTCATTGAAAAAACTGTATAACATCAACATCAGTAACGTTCTAGACAAAAAGTTAATGTAAGTATCAATTTCATTTAATTATTTGTAAGCGTTATAATTATTTTTTTACAAAATTTCAATGATTTTCAACTATGACTAATTTAAGTGCTTTTATAACATACGATTAAGAGATATTTAGCATGGACCAAAAGTCAATATACCAAGATAATTGGTTTCTGTTGATTGCATATAAACATTTGTGATTCATTCGCTTCTAATTAAGCAACTTGATGTCCTTTCTTATTGGCAATATATGTTTGATAGTATTATACTGTATATTATACATAAAACTTTTTCCATTAACATATATTAAAATGACAATATTTAATATATATTATATATCAATATATATGTATATATAAGTAAAAAATAATTAAGTATAACCTTGGTTTTTGTATTTTTGAAGAGTAAATATGATAAAAATAGATTACGCCATCTAATCAAGCAATTCTGTAATATTAACCTTAACCCACCTACTTTCTTAATCTACGTCATTAGATTATGCTTTTATAAATTTTGATGAAGTGTAAAGATGTAATTTTATGATTTTTCAATAACAACATTATTCAAAAAATATATTTTGCTAAACTATTAACTTATTCGTAAAAAAAAAATGTCTATGCTTTACATTTTTGACTTCTCCAAGTATTAATTTGTACAGACAATCTTTATACAAGTTTATATAGGCTATATCCTATATATGTCACATGTAAAATTTTTACTTTATAAATATAATGAAATGAACTACATGTTAGTTAATCATAATTCATCAAAAGCATTATATCATTCAACGCTGTTAATTAGTCAAATTAGTTAAATAGTAATAAGCTATTTAAATAAAACAGTAATTTAATCTACAAAATTGTTTCGAACAAATCTGTACTATATACTTTATACTTGTACAGTAGAAACCTCAATAAAAACGTTGATGGCCATTTTTTAATAAACAGCTTATTAAACAAATTGCTTGGCGTCGAAGTATGATGTCATTTCTGTTTTTATGTCTAATTATCTTATGTTTCTGTCCGGATACTAATGCTTCACATATAAAAAGCAGAAATGACGTCACTACACTAACACTGGCTAATTCTCCTTCAGGTCAAAAACAGAGAGCATAATTTCTTCACGTTTTTACCATATATGTCTGTAAAATTGGAACAAACACCTTATATAACAGTTTACTTACTTTTCATCTAGCCTTAAATTTTAACAGACGTAGACCTCTGTAATACAAATGCCTATAACACGAAAATTTACTGTGTAAAATAATAATTAAATCTACAATGTATAGAGAGAACTTAATGTAAATGTTCGTGTTACAGAATTACAGATGAAGTTAGCAACATTCATGAAACATTTTTTAGGAATCTGGATTATACTTCACTACTTGCAACTAAGTGAAAACACGACCATAAAAGATAAAATCGCAGGAGTTTCGATTAAGATACTAAATAAACAGGTTGAAGCGTATTTAGGAATTCCATATGCAACACCTCCTGTTGGAGACTTGCGATTCAGTGAACCTCAACCTGTTAAAGATTGGGATTTTGTTTATAATGCAACACAGAAACCTCCTTCCTGCATGCAGGATCCAATGTTTGACTTTCCCGAATGGTCGAATCGCCAGCCGAAAGAAATAAGCGAAGATTGCCTATATATCAATGTTTGGGTTCCAGAATCCACTACTTGTGGCGATAAACTCACTACTATGGTCTGGATCTACGGAGGAGGTTTCACACTTGGATCCACAAACATGGATATATACGACGGATCAGTTATTGCATCAGTAGGAGAAGTTATCTTTGTTTCCTTCAATTATCGTCTAGGAGCATTCGGTTATGCAAATTTTGGACAAGACGATGCGGCTGTGAATGCGGGAATGTTGGATCAAGTGTTGGCCTTAAAATGGGTTCACGAAAATATAGAAGCTTTCGGGGGAGACAAAGATTTAATAACTATTTTTGGCGAAAGTGCAGGATCCATGTCAGTGGCACATCATCTCATTTCCCCAATGACTAAAGGATTATTCAAACGAGCAATCCTGCAAAGCGGAAGTAACAACCAACAAACATTTACAGCGAATCCTGAAGACAATTTCGAATTTACATCAATGATGGCGAAAGAATTGGGATGTAGTGAAGACGATATGCTACCATGCATGAGAAGAGTAGACGCTTTCGATATCGCAGCTTTTCAAAAACAATTTATGCAAAGAAAAAAGACTTTTGCAACTCTCATTCCTCAAAAGGGATCTCCGTTTCTTCCCGAAGACCCATTTGAAAGTATTGATAACGGAAAATTTCATGATGTGGATATTTTAATAGGAGAAACAAAGGACGAAGGTTCTATTTTTTTACTTTTGTACAGACTAAAATTACTAAACGAAGAAGAACCGAACTTATCGAAATCAGAATTTGAATCTATACTAAGTCATTTTTATAAAGTAAATAGTGAATCTGTAAATCTCATCGTGCAGGAATATCTAAGAGATGTTGCAGATGACGCTTCTTTCACAATTACAAAGCAAACGATTAAAGCATTAGGACACGGAATTTTTACTTGTCCGATTTTTCATTTAGCAGAAAGATTGTCTCAAAATAATAGAAATGTGTTCCATTATGTGTTTAATCACACTCGAACAAAATCACCAAGGAAGAAATGGATGGGTGTACCTCACTTTGAGGATGTGTATTTCGTTTTTGGAAAACCTTTTATGACAGTAAATGATTACTCACGAGAGGAAATGAAATTTAGTAAAAAAATAATTGAATTATGGACTTCGTTTGCAAAAACAGGGTAAGTAATTTAATTGTTGTGAAACGTGAACAATTTTAAGCATGTATTTGATTACTTTTATTGTACTGAATTTTATTCCATTAATTTTGCATTAAGCTTTAGTTCTTTCTTACTGTAATCAAAATAAATACAAACGTAGTAGTAGAGAGCAAACTTTGACAGTAAATTTTTATTAAAAATGTAAATTCACTTGAAAATAAGATTTTATTCTTTTTCTCTACTAAATTACATGCAATTATGATCATAAATAATTCATGAGACGACCGTTTTTAAGGAAAAGAGTTTATGTGAAAAAGCTGAAAATGAAATATGTTGTAGCTTATGAGGTCCTAATCAATGAACATACACGCTTTAACTTTCCTGGGTCTGTTATATATAACAGAGGAAAAGTATTGTGATTAAGATTAAGATATGGCGCATGATCTTCTCTATTTCCCTTCCCTCTTGATTATTTTCACAAAAATTTAATAGTATCAATGCACCTTATAAGCAAACTATCATGCCAAATTTCGTTCCTAATCTTTACCACATCCTGATCAGATATTAAACTATATAGACATCAACATGCACATACGCATATGCATATCCAGGGAATGTTTTTCCTTTCTTCACTCTTTCGAATTCAGGATGTCTCAAAACATCAAGATTTGCTGAATTTCTTTATAGTCAAATCTCACACGGTTACAATACTTTCCTGAATTATATATATAGCATCCGGAAAAGAAATACGTCTTAGAACCTCTTATAAATGTTTGATCACTTTTAACTCTGACAAATGGATGCCCATGTCTCCATATTCTTATATTACAATTCCCCTCTTGACTAATTCATTATTGTGCTCGATTTATATTTTTTACTTCGAGAATTTCAAAGGAAACTTAGGTGTATTTTCCGTAAACTGGATTATAAAATAAATAGTAATAAAATGATAAGCAGAAAATTCAAATTAAAAATTAACAATGTTATTCTTAATATATATATATATTTTTAAAATTATTATTGCAGGAAGCCTTCGTATGAAGGAATGGAAGAAGAATGGTTACAATTTGATGAGAAGGATCGAAGATCTTTCTCTCTTACTTTAGGAAATATTCATCTTACAAAGGCCGAAGAGGAAAAGTGCAAATTTTGGAAACAATTTTATGGTTTTGATTGAACAAACACAAGAAATTGTTATTATTATTAAAATCTCTGTATGTTTACATTTAATAAATTTCTGTTACTTATCTATTATTCGTACACATTCCTATTATTGTGTAATTTTATGCAAATGTTCTTCATTCCTCTTAAACAGAATTCATTTTTTGAATAAGAATTAATCAAAATTTTATAAAATTTCACAAAGCTAATCTATAATATAATCGAGACGGGTTGATGATAATAATAATAATAATAAGTGCAGAGCCCAAACGGTTAGGAGTTGAAAGTTGAAATTTGGTACACAGGGTACGTTAGGAGAACGCACACTAAGAAGGGATTTTTCGAAATTCCTCCCCACGGGGGAGAGGGACAGGATTAAGGCTTAACACTTCCATCAACAATGGAAGTGTTAAGTAACAATGGAAGTGCTAAGTAACAATGGAAGTGTTAAGTAACAATAAAAGTTTTAAGTAACAATGGAAGTGTCAACAATGGAAATGTTACGTAACAATGGAATTGTTAAGAGAAAGCGACGTGCGATACGCAGGTGCAGTTTTTTTCTTTTTGCGGGAAATCGAACATATTTTTAGATTGATCTAAAAATTCTCTAAGGGGACCCAATTCTTGCGTTCTGTGAAAACGGGTAAGGTTTACTGTAACGTAATAATCTTTATCTTAGTTATCGTTACTTTTGCCCGAGCAAAGCCGGGCCCACCTGCTAGTTACTATATATTTTCCACGAAAGACAGAGTAGAGAAAATCACTGAAAACTGATAGTGGGTTGCAAATACATGCATGTCCAATGCATTGGCCAAGTGCATCACATAAATAAAAAACAGTTACTCTAAAAAATACTTCAGAGAGAGAATGAAAGAAAAATCACAGAAAGGAAATGAAAACAATCCGGATCTAATTTGCAAAGTGAATATTAAATTTTATAGTTTAATTAAGAAGGAATATTAATAACAAATTTTCCACCTTCTTGTTTAAGTCAAATACTTAATTATAGAATGGATAGCGATTTATCCTGACGGTAAGCAGTACTGGCATGACAACTGCGCACGTAGGATGATCCTACTAGCAGTATAATAATATTCCATGAGCTCTTCCTGCTGGTAGGATTGACATTAGGAAGAGAAAATGAACGTTTTTAATCAATTATATTATATTATATAGGCTATATATATAATATAATATAACCATTTATTCTCTATAGCTGAATTTGGCGAACTCTATTTTTCCCCTATGAGCATCATTATAAATAGTTATAATAACTGGTCCCAGTATGAAAGAATAAAGTTTTGTTGTGTACAGTATTTCCCTTGCTCGAATCTTGAACTTTAAGATGAGATAAAGTTCATCCTGCTGATATGCTTCATTACAATAAAAGCAATTAAAATCATCCTACAGGCGGATGATCTACCTTATCAATAGGATGCTGTCCATTCTACCCTTAATGAGAATACTTCGTGTTTACTGTACATCTAGATACAAACAGCATATAATTTCACTTAAATATAAAAAACAAACTTATTCGAGATAGGAACGCTACCCCCTCTATTTCCCCCCCCCTTCAGTCTTAAACTTCCAAAATGTACTAGCATCTGAATAAATGTTTTATTTTCTACATTTGAATTTAGTTCAATATCTTATATTTTTAATTCAGTTCGATTTTGTTTATATTCGAGTTTGCTTCGATTCCTGTAGTCGATAAGAAGTGATTTCGAATAAAAATTCCGCAACGACTTTCTTAACTTTCCCGGTAAAACTTAAAACTGCATATGGCGCCATCTTTTATGATAATTTACTGAAAAAGTTTTTATATTTTTAATTATTATTAATACATTAACATCCATACATGCTGAAATCACCACAGAATTTTTTTTTTTTTTTACATTTCTCGACGTTTCAAGGTGTCCTGAGACGAAAAATGTAAAAATCTTGGTGAGTCATTTTTGACCGACATACTTTCCCTCTGTTATATATAACAGCCGGAAAAGTAAAAATAGTTGTACATTTTATTTAAACTTTTATGCCGCTAGCCGAGTAATAAACATAGACTCGTCGTTATCACATTTGACACACATACGTGAGGTTATCAGATAATATTTCCAATACATCAGTCATTAAAAGAAGTGCGTAACGTCTACATCAAAGTTTTTCTGGAGTAAAACTTAAAGCAAGTATCAGTTTAATTTTATTATTTCGTAAATATCTTAATTAATTTTATTACAGAAATGTATGTATATGTTTGGGCTATATTCAGAGTGGTCCGAAAGTCAATTTACTAAGATAATATTTAATATAATCTTGAGGTCAGTCAAATTAGTTACAATTAGCTTCATATTTCCCAATGTTATTACCAATATATGTTTTATAGTATTATATATAATTTAAAGATCTTTTTTTTATTAAAATATATTAATATAGCAATATTTAATATTTGCAACACGGGAATAATAATTTCTTTTATTTAATTTATATAAAGGATAAATAGTGATATTTAATATTACCTTGAATTTTTAATGTTTGAGGAGTAAATATGATAACAGTAGATTATATTATTACTGAAGCAATTCCATAATATTATTCTTAACACGCCTATATTCTATATCTAGGTCGTTAGATTACGTCTTTAAAAAACTTTCTATATTTTTAATTATTATAAAATGCGATAAAGCTTCATTTTGAGGGTTTAGATGGGTTTTAGAAAAGTTGTAAATGCTAATAAAGAATAAAATCGTCATTAATTCCGACCCTACTCGAGATATGACAAACGACTCCCTTTTGCTTTCCTACCTTGTTGGTCTTTAACTACCAAAATTTTATAGCATCAATCCCCCTAATAAACAAACCTCCCTGCAAAATTTCAAAAAATTGCAACAAAATCACAGCAGTTATTATAAAGCTTTAAACAGGGTGAACAAAATCGTGCCCCCCAAACAAACAAACACTCACACAAAAACTAACATTTTTACATACAGAAAACCCCTTAATGTTCTTGCATTTCTCGACGATTCAAGGTTCGCTGAGTCCAAAAATTTTTAAATCTTGGGAGGGGTCATTTTTTGACTAACGTCATAATTTCCCTCTGATATGTAGGGCCTATAACAGAAATGGAAAAGTAAAAGTGTAATTTTTAGAACATTTAGAAACCAAACTGGTTAATTGTGTAACATAATTTTAAATATTTTAATGTTCATATAATTCGGTAAAGTACACAAAACACAACACTTCTGTACGATATTCAATTTGTAGAATAACTATACAGTAAATAATAACAATTCTATAGCGCAGAGCAACTTAAGCAAAACTTCTTTATTGTTACAGAATTACAGATGAAGCTCTCAACTTTCGTTAGAAGTTCTTTGGTAATTTGGATTTTATTTCAATGCATGCTACTATGTGAAAACACGTCCATCAAAGACAAAATTTCAGGGATTACGATTAAAGTTTTAGATAAATACGTCAATGCATATTTAGGAATTCCATATGCAACACCTCCTGTCGGAGACTTGCGATTTAGGGAACCTCAACCTGTTAAAGATTGGGATTTTGTTTATAATGCAACACAGAAACCACCTTCCTGCATGCAGAGCCCACTAGAAATTGATCCAGAGTGGCCGAATCGTGATCCTAAAGAAATAAGTGAAGATTGCCTATATATCAATGTTTGGGTTCCAGAATCCACTACTTGTGGCGATAAACTCGCTACTATGGTCTGGATCTACGGAGGAGGTTTCATTATTGGTTCGTCAAACATGGATATATACGACGGATCAGTTATTGCATCAGTAGGAGAAGTTATCTTTGTTTCATTCAATTATCGTCTAGGAGCATTCGGTTATGCAAATTTTGGACAAGACGATGCGGCTGTGAATGCGGGAATGTTGGATCAAGTGTTGGCCTTAAAATGGGTTCACGAAAATATAGAAGCTTTCGGGGGAGACAAAGATTTAATAACTATTTTTGGCGAAAGTGCAGGATCCATGTCAGTGGCACATCATCTCATTTCCCCAATGACTAAAGGATTATTCAGACGAGCAATCCTGCAAAGCGGAAGTAACAACCAACAAACATTTACAGCGAATCCTGAAGCTAATTTCGAATTTACATCAATGATGGCAAAAGAATTGGGGTGTAGTGAAGACGATATGCTACCATGCATGAGAAGGGTAGACGCTTTTGATATCGCAGCTTTTCAAAAACAATTTATGCAAAGAAAAAAGACTTTAGCAATTTTCCTTCCTCAAAAAGGATCTCCGTTTCTTCCCGAAGATTCGTTTGAAAGTGTTGATTCTGGTAAATTTCACGATGTAGATGTTTTAATTGGAGAAACTAGGGATGAAGGTTCTCTATTTTTATTTCTACATAAGTTAGATTTAATAAAACAGAAGGAACCGATTTTATCAAAATCAGAATCTGAGTCTATACTGAGTAATTTTTATAAAGTAAATACGGAATCTGCAAATCTTATGCTTCAAGAATATCTAGAAGATATTGCAGATGAAGCTTCTTTCACAATTACAAAGCAGACAATTAAAGCAATGGGGCATGGACTGTTTTCGTGTCCTATTTTTCATTTAGCAGAGAAACTTTCGAAGAACAGTAAAAAAGTGTTTCATTACACCTTTAACCACACTCGGATCAAATCACCAATGTTAAAATGGATAGGAGTACCTCATTTCGAGGATGTGTATTTCGTTTTTGGGAAACCTTTTACAAGAGTAAAACAATTTACTCCAGAAGAAATGGAATTTAGTAAAAGAATAATTGAATTATGGACGTCGTTTGCCAAAACTGGGTAAGTAGTTGTTACAAATCAAGCATATAATTTATTAGAGATAAAAAAAAAATAGTATATTGATATAAGAAAAATTTATCTCATGACTAGTGAATAAGTTACTACCCTACTTTGTTTTCCTTATTTTCTATCCATTTGAATTGACTTAATAATAATCTCTGCAATTTTCTTGCATATTTTACTTTAAATCCGTACAAATTTCAAAAAGTGTCTGAACATTTGTATCTGAACAAGAAATGCCTGGATTTCTTGGACACATACTCTAATAGATATTTGTACTAGAATATATCTAGTTTTTTCCCTCACTTCAACAGCTAACCGGTTTTTGCATGTGGTTTTGCAAATGTTTTAGTGCTAAGGTCGCTTATTGATAACTATGCTGGGTTCTCCAAGCTACAACACTAGCAATCAGATTTTTGGAACGATGCCAGAACAGTCCCAAGAAATCAAGATGTATATCAAGATATATGACAGCCTACGAAAAATTCCTAAGAGTCAATCTGGGGTTCCTCAGAACGATAGACCATTGACACTGAATGTGTGTAGTCTATTTACAGCCAGGTGTAGTGATACGAACATTAAGCATAAAATTATGCTGCATTGTTAAAAACATTGCCTTTTTAATAGTAGCTTGAAATTTGTTATTTTATTCGTTGTTTTGAACTAGAGTTATTATAAATAAAACTAGAATAATAACAATACTGTATCAGTGAGCAGTGTATTTATCATACGATATTCGTTTTCGTCTCTTGTTTTAGTTTTATTATAAAATATCCAGTAATGTTGCCAGTGAAAATATTTCGAATGGAACCCAAACTTTAAAAATTTATCTTTGAACACATAGTCGGTCGTGGGTTTGCGCCTCGTCAACGGGCTGGCACGTGAAATTTTCCGGGTTTTCTTTACGTTTGTAACACCTAAATAGGAGCATATTTCTCATAGAAAGTCCTCCTGGGATATATGTTAACTTGACAGATTGCCTACATGTTCAAGAATTGGCTAGGAACTACTTAAAATGTCAAATTTCAGCATGTGACTACTGCATACGTATACATTGTCTATTGTATTTTGTCTCATATAGTAAAGTTTAATGAGAAATTCCTAGTGCTGAAGTGTGGTTCGGAAAGACGTCGAAGTGTCCTACTTTTTTAGACACTACCATTTCAAAACGATTTTAGGATTTTAGTTCCTATTCTATCTGTTAGGAACACTACTTAGGTGCAATGGTCTGTCAGTTTCTCAGACACCTGACAAATGGATGTCCACCGAGAGTGGATCTGGGAGGCAATACGATTGTTTTAAAACTCCTCTTTGTGGACACGAAAACAACCTTTGTTCAAACCCTTCTAGCATTAACTTTATGTCTGAACCATTTTTCTCATATGCAATTATTTCTTACATAAATTTATTAAAACCTTATTCAATTAACAAACTATAAACTAAAATGCTTAAAAATGATTTACGATCCCGTGAAAAAATAGTATACATTTATGCTTAGAAAATATATTATTCTCGGGTCTGACACATAAATAATTATTTCTTGATTTTATAGGGCGATCGCCCCTCCCTAAATCCGCTTAGAAATCATTATGTCAACCCAACACCCGACAAATACGTGTCGATGCTTCGATAATCTCCATATTATGTCATTACAATTTTGCTAACAACTAGTTCATCAATATACTTCCTTTATTTTTTCATAATTAGTTTTTCGTCGTGGATTTCAAAGAAAAAACTGGAATTTCCATTTCTAAATGGTAGAGTAGAAGAAATTATTGTTAGAGTATATAATAACATAACATAGTTTGGTCCTATCCGTCAATGACATATTCAGACGTTTACTAAAAATACAATAAAAATTTTAAATAAGATAAAAACAAATAATCATTGAATTCAAAGTATAAATTAACAATGTTATTTTTAATATATATGTATTTTTTAAATTATTATTACAGGAAGCCTTCTTATGAAGGAATGGAAGAAGAATGGTTACAATTTGATGAGGAGGAACGAAGATCTCTCTCCCTTACTTTAGGAAATATCCATCTTACAAAGGCAGAAGAAGAAAAGTGCAAATTTTGGAAAGAATTTTATGGTTATAATTGATCAAGTGTAGGATAAAATTGTGAACAAAGGGAAAAATTTTGGGAATTTTACGAACAATTTTAGTGTTACAATTGAAGAAATAATGGAAACTGTGATTATTGCTAAAATCTCGATGTTTGTATTTTCAATAAATTTCTTATTGTTTCCCTATTAGGGTACAATTTTATGCAAATTTTCTTATTTTGTCTTCAATGCCATCGATTTTCGTAACCAAGAATTATTCAACGATTAAAGAGTTCATTAAGCTGAAGTTGTCTCTGACTCCTAATTAAATTGTAACCTTTAATGATGATATTATAGAGTAAAGATATTGATTCTTTCGGAAAAAATAAAGACAACTATTGAAATTCATAATTTAGTACAGTAGAACCTCGAAAACTCGGCCTAATGTGGACCGAAGGGTGGCCGAGTTTGTGAAAATGCCGAGTTATCGGGAATGGAGTTAAAAAAAATAAGTACGAGTGTTTCCTCAGAAAATACTGTACTGTACTTGTATGTATTGTTTACTTGAAAACACAACAGAGAATAAACTGTTTAAATACCCTTAAACAGAGGAAAAGTACGCCCTTTATGAAGGCATAGAGCCTTTACTACATGAAAATGAAAATTAATGAATACACTGTGTACAGTATTCATTAACTGATAAGACAGACCTCAGAAAAATACTTTATGAGAGCTTTTATACTTTTATAAAGCTGTCTATAATGAAAATTAATTAACTAAGGATTTTTTTCCCCTGCCAGGGTGTGGCCGAGTTATCC